GAACCAATCAACCATTCCTGGGCTTCTCTGCCTGCACCCCGGCTTTGTCAGCCTGCCCAGTTCTGCCTTTTTGGGGTGGTGACCCCTATTTTGAGAACTGCCACTGTGAAAATCAGAGCGAGGAAACCAGAAGGTTTTATTTTTCTCTGCTTTCCCCCACCTTTTTTTGCAGGCAGACACGCAAAACATCTGTGGTAGTGGATTATGGATTTCTCTCGGTGCCAAGCAAGCGAGCAAAACTCGGAAGAGAGAATGTGCTTTTGATATTTTTTTGGTGACCTCTCAGGTTCTTTTGTTACCACACTTTCTTCCTTTCATGTACCAGGGAAGCTGAAGCCAGAGGAAAAGGGAGGAGAAGCTTTATAAAGACTTCTAACAGTGACGGCTAAATTGAATCCCGTTGTTACCTACTGGTACAAAACTAAACCTGCAGACTGTGCCACAGAATGACACAACATTCAGCTGTTTCCAACCAGATGATCAGAGCACCTTACGAATAAGATTCAGAACCTGCTGTACTTATTAAGCTGAAGCCTCATGTGGCCTGTGGTGAAATTGGGTGACTCAGACTCGAATATAATACTCCATCCTTGCAGCAGAAATAACATCACTGTGTTGGTAGAAAAATTCAGAAGAAACTCACTCCTTCCAGAAGTTTTGCCTGTATGTGATTCAGCTATGATGGGCTGCCCATACTGCATCACAAAAAGAGGTGAGAACTCAGAAATTATTGATCACTTTGTTTCAGGCTGCTGCTTCGAGTTCTGGCCTCAACACAGGAAGCTGCTGCTGGTTTCTGAATAACTCAAGAAATTCAGACCCCCTGTTTAGGATTCAGGTAACAGATAGACTGAAAATAACTCCAGCCTTGTAACAGCATTCCAGTGCTTATACTTACATGGCAGTACATGTAAAGTCAGTTTAGTGTCCTCCTCTGCTGAAACAACTGGACTAAAGGGAATATTGTGGAAAAGAGGTTAAGTCTTTGACAGCTGCTTTTATAAAAGAAGAAGGGAGAGAAACCCCGCCCCCATTATCATCATGAGGTGAAGAAAACATCCTTAAAACCCCCCTAGGTAAGTACAGCATCAAAAGACACATTTTTGCAGCTGATCTCCTACTGCAGGAGATGAGCAGGTTCCTGGAACATGCCTGAAGAAAGTTTGCCTTTTGTGTTCGCAGTTTTACCAGCTGTGAATGTTTCACTGCAGCCAAAGGGTAACTGGTATACAGAGGAAAACACAAAGGGGAAAAAAAAAAGTAAAAACAAACCCCATGCACCAACTAATTATCTCCTTATTCCAAACTGGAAACTAACCAAAAGAAGGGAAGACAAAGAAGGAAACAACTAATACTTTATAACAACCCAGCTTATTAAAACTCAGGCAGTGAGACACATAACACAACGTTAAGGTCACTGGGCATGAGACTGAAGCACAACAGCAGCTCCATCTTCCCCTTCCCTCTCCCCAGCTGCAGGGATGACAGTCAGATTTTTAACTCAGCTCGTCAGCAAATGTAGTTCAAGGTTCCCAAAGCCCCAGAGGACACAGACACAGCCCCCCCAGCGGGGTCTGCAGTCCCTCCCCAGGCAGGGCATGTCCCTACCATCATGTGGCTGGTTCAGCAGAGGGCAAAACAAAATCAAACCAGACTTGCTCTAAGGTGACAGTGATGTAGGTCAGCAACCAGAATATCCTGTCAGAGGCTGGGACAAATCATGAAATAATTTAATCTAACTATTTACTTAATATACAGGCCACAAAATTTCATTCAGACCATCAAACACCACCATTACCGACTCCGGGCCTCACCATTTGATGGAATTGTCAACAATCTTCCCCAAATTAATTCCACATGAAAAACCAGCAGCCTCCAACAGCTCTAAACATCCTCTGATCTCATTTACACCATCTTACACCTGCCTAGTTTTGAGCAGCACTTCTCATACAAACACAGGTCACTGGAGAAACCTACCAGCAGCAATCCAACAGATTCCCAAGCCTGAACACACGAGGAAGTCAGCCAGAGTTGGAGGCAGCACAACACTGGCACAAACATGCTGGTGGATTCTAGTTGTTATTCTAAGGACATTATGCCAGAAGCAAACACAATAACCTCCTGAAATGGATGGCAGAATCCCTCCTGGCATTTCCTGACTGACAAAACATTGAGGGGAGTAGGTCTATCTTAGTGCATGCAGCAGGGTTAGCAGTTTAACTTACAGGCAAAAGAAGTTTAAAAGCAACCTGTGAACACAGCACCACCTTCCCTGCTACCTATTTTAACTTCTTCCCACCCTGTATAAACCCTTCCTACACCCAGTGGGGACAAACCTTCACTGATGTGTATTTGGCTGGAGCGTTCACATAGGTCCGAGCACCCGCTGGAGGCTCCTGCTCCCAATCAGGCAGAAAAAAAAAGTGATATTCAAGTCTCCCTTCTTTTAAAAGGCACCCCAGCTATTATTTGCCTATTCCTGGAAGGCACTTCAGGACATTTCAATCAGAAATTCTGTAACCAGAAATTGTTCTCCTTTCCAATCAGTTTTTTTCCCCAGCGCGTCTGCAGTTTGGACATTTTATCTCGGGCAGAGGCGCACAGACCCCATCAAACGTCCTATCAGAACCACAGCAACAAACACTCGAGGTGATCAGAGCAAGAGAGAAAGGCTGAAGCTTTCCAATTTCAATTCCATATACACTGAAGAGCAGGCAAAGCAGACAACAAAAACAAGCCACTTTAAAACTATGTGTCAAGGCAAATATCTCCTTCCCTGCTACACTAAAGTAAGCAGAATATACCTATCTGATGCAGCTGACTGGAAATACAAGCCATAATTCCACAAAATGAAAATAAATCACACGTTGAAGTTAAGAAGGGCACTGACAGAAGGGTCTAATTTGTTCTCCTAATGAGCCATTTTCATTACTCTCAGAGGGATATCTGTCCTTCCGACCAATAAATGGAGCATTTCTTCACGGAGACGTAAAAGATAAAGTAATCACCATTTCTCATTTTAGAACAGAATCTATTTTTATTCAACACAGGTTGGTAAAGGATAAAATTCACAATAACCAGCATTAAAAAACCGAACAAACGAACCCTGCAGTCATATTTAAATTTGGCTGTACCTACTGGTCACTCACATTTCTACATACACAACTTTGTCAGTCTTGCTCATTTCCAGATCAACGCATACCGACAACCCAATACTAACAGAACACACTGTTTATCCACCTAAAGGGGGATCCTTTAGGGTTTTCAAGCAAGAAAAGCAAATCTTCATCTTCTTGTCCAGCAATTTTGTAGCTGGGAGGAACCAAAATGCTGCAGATTAACATGGAAGGAGATACGGGCACGCTGAGAGTCCCAACTCCCGCCTACAATTTTTGGAAGGAAGGAAGGACTCAGCCCAGCACCTCCAACTTTGTCACTAACCCATACCCCAGTCACTGAAGTGCAAAAGCTATTCAAATAAATAAATAAATAACAGCAGCAGCCCCAACAAGTGAAACCCAAAACACAGTTAAAGTATCTTTACTGCCTCTGTGAAATACAACCACAAGCTTTTTAAACTAAGACCTCAGCCCACAGGGAACAGCTTCTCAAAATCTGAGCCCAGCAGGGTTTGAATTGTTTCAACAAACTAATACAAAGCTCTACATACGTTTTTAGGGGGAAGGGATTGGAATCTTCAGCTGATGAATTCCTCCATCCCTCCCTCCCTCCTCACACAGCCACTGAAGCTGTGCCAGTATGGATGTCTTGGGGTTGCAATGCTATTTTTCCCCTCCATCAGAGGCTGGTTCAGTCCACTGGGATAGAAGTCCTTTCAAGCAACATTGCTGCAGAATTCCTTCCCATTTAACTACAGCCCACAGCCCAAACACAGCCCAGATTTATGCATTTAGATGTTGAGACCTCCCCCAGTGGTCTGTACAGGCTTATCCAAAATGTGTGAAGTCAACCATTCATCCAGGTAACTGCAGGGACAGGGCCTACCTACAGTTCCTCTGCAAGGACCCAACACTTTCCTTAAGGCCCTGTGGCACTGAGGTCTTCCCTCTACCTCTGTTCAGCAAAACAGTTAAAAATCAGCACCTTCTTACAGTGTTCAAGCATAAACCAAGTGCTGAATCAAACCAGTGAAGCGACTCAATGGACTGAGCAACTATCAAAATTACAGCCCTGGAAATCACGTGCTGTGCCAGCACGTGGAACACAACACCAGCAGCTGATGGGACATTTCTGCAGGGCTGTTTTAGAGTGTTCTGTTAATCGAGTGCAAAGACTGCTGCATTGTTTCACAGAACTTAAGAGCATAGCTCAGAACAAGACCTATGCCTAGAGCTTTAATAAATACAGTTAAGGACAACACATGGTTTAAATTATCTAGCCTTTGTGATTTAAGTATAAACACCTCATACAAAAAGGACTTCTTTTCACTTTATACATCTTTAAAAAAAAAAAATTGCAGAAACATCTGTTTGCAAAGCAGCTGGACAAAGAAATTATATGTCCTGAAGACACTAAACCACCTATTTTCTGGGTAACACTAGTTACTCAAATGTTCTCTTACAAACTACTGCCCACACAGCTAATTCTTCTGATATTTGGGCCCCAAAATCTGAAATTCAGAGCCACTGGAAATGAGCCACTTAAGAGACATTTCTGGATGTTAAAGTGCCCACCCCAGCACTGAAATCATGAGTACCCAGCAGAGATCACTGTGGTAAGTGGGCACTGAAGCAGCTCATCTGCTCAACCCACAAGTGCAGTAAGACAAGGACAGCTCACAGCTCACAAGAAACCACCTCTCATTTCAGCCCAGCCTGGCAGACAATTACGTGACGTTTGCACAGCCAGTTTATAATGCCCTGAAAATCATCAGAGCCCTCACTGGAAATTCTGACTCATAAGCTGCTTTTTGTTGCTTAGAACTCTTTTTTTTTTTTTTTTTTAATTTATTTTTTATTATTTTGTTTGTTTGGTTTGTTTTTTTGTTTGTTTGTTTTTTTTCTTTTGCACAATCCTAATTGAGGACTAACACTCACCCAGAGAATCTGTGAAAACTGCTAACTGCAGTACATGGCAACAGTAAATTCCATTACCTACCAAAAGGCTGGATGTTGTCCTTGGGAAGCAGTACTGTAGTTAAAAACTAATAATACAGTGGGTGGCTGCTGTCTGAGCAGCTTCAAAATACTAACAGCAGCACATCTTAATAACCAGCTGAAATTGCCCTCTATGCAGTGATGCCCTCAATGTACACAAGATGACATAAGAGACACATACTTCACTCACTGACACTGGGACAGCCACTGCCAGGCTGGTACAATTTCAACTTCCTTCTGCTCTAGTTTTGCCTTGATTTTTGGCAAATAGGCAGTTCATAATTTTAATTAAAAACATCCTATCAAAAAGAAATAAAAAAGGCACTTGGTATTTCTCTTTGGCTCAGTTGAGGCGTGCTGCTAAAACCTTCCCAAGGTTCCTGTCTCTTCCTCTGATGAACAGTTGCCATCCTGAGGTACTTACTCATGTGCAAAAATAAAGAGCTTCAGGGATTCACCAGCTGCGTTTCTCACATTGCTTCCTGTAAAGGTGCAAAGTTCTTCACCAAACAGAACCTCTTAAAGAGAGAATAATTCATCCCATGAAGTTTGGATTTTCAGGGAAGAGCTCCGACCACCGACACAGTCCTTAGTCCAGCTCTGCTCTCGTAGCTCAGTGCTCTTTAAACCTGGGGAAGAACAAACCAGGCAGGAAAGATTTAGGTGTGAGGCCTCACAGCCTCCAACTCCAAAGGGCAGGATCTATCCCCTGCCACGTGTTTTCTGTTCTCTGTCCATGTTACTTCTCCAAAACTGCACACAAGGAGACTGCTGCTGACTACCAATGTGGCAAAACACGTCACATTTAGATTTTGCATCTGCAAGTGAAACCCCACTGGTTCACTGGATTTTTCCCCCCCCCTCCATTCAAACCACTGTAAATCCAAAGTCACCCTTTTCTTTAAGGAGACATTTTGGAAAAATGTGAATTTGAAGCTATTATTAAACACAGCCCAAGCAATCGAGGGGCTTATTTTCCCCACCTGCAGGATGAAACCCAGGAAAAAATACACCATAACCAAGAGACCGGGACAGACGTGTGCTTCCAGATATTTTCAAAAGATGTTCTGAAGAAAACTGTTCATGGTTTGTAAACATCAAACTCAGATTATTCTTTTGAAGCAAAATTAACCCAGACATAAATGGCCTTTAACACTTTCAGTCTGCGTTATGTACTGCAAGGCAAAGGTTGGACTTGATGATCGTGGAGGTCTTTCCCAACCTTAATGATTACATATGAAAGGATCAGTAATGTGTTTTAAACCATTATTAACAAGCAACAGTAAAACACAGCACTTACAGGGTGTGATCTGCATCACACTGAAGCTCCTTCTGAATAAGACGGAGTAAGAGCTGCAAAAACCACCACAGTATCTGTGTTAGTATCTATAAACAGACAAATAAGCTAAGAAACTTATTTCAACATAAGATGTTCATTGTTACTTGAAGAGTTTCTCATTTAAATATCACCCTATAATGCTGAACTCAGAAAAAAAAATTAAAAAATTTGAAGATTTACAGATGCTCGGTCAATGTTTGGAGGAGGAGTTTTCACAATGAATAGGCAAGAGGAAAGTAATTTCCTTTCTGCAACAAAGAGATCAATTTTTTCAGAGAAACCAGAACGTTTTTCTGGCAAACATGTAAAGAAACCAGCAGAGGGAACCCAAGACTTCAAGAAAACACGGCAGATAGAAACTTTGGAGCACAAAAGTATTTTAACTGTTATTTGGAAAAGCAACTCTTGTGTGTGAAAAGCTTTCATCACACAATTAGTCAAGATGAGTCAAGTTTGTGCCTGTGCTGGATCAGGAATTTCCAGTGCACTTTAAAAGGGCTACTAAGTTAGTACCAGCAAAGTAATTTTACAATTAAAATTGGTGATTCTCACATACTTTAAAGACAGAATTAGAACTTTCAGGGTTTCTCACTGTTTCTGGCTACGTTACCCTCAGAGTCTCACTGTTATAAATGGAAGTTCCTTCACTATTCTAAGTATTAGTGTTTTAAGAAGTTAAACCTAACATTTTAGAGGTACAGAAGTGGCCAAGAAGGACAGAACTGAGTACCCTGTAAGAGACTAAAGCCCCTCTCGGTTCCCTTGAAGAAACAACATTTGCACACAGGCATCTTTATGCTGTACTGCAAAGGACAGGAAAACCACAACAAGAGTTACACAAAAAAGGATTTATTACAACAGCAGAGTCAGTCCTCTCAAGAACAGAGCTTTGCAAAGGTGTTTTAATTGATTCTGCAAAGAAAAGTGTTTGGGGTTTTTTTTTCCCCCACTTGGTTTTAATCAATTACTGTAAAATCAAAAAAACCAACAACAGAGCTTTAGGTCTATTTGGGAGAAGTACAATAAGCTCCCAAACCTCACTCTGCAGTGTGAAATACCTAATACTGAAAACAGCACAAACCAGGATTTATCAAGCTGCTGACTACCAATGTGGCAAAACACATCAGCTATTAACTTACCTAATCTATTTACTGAATTTCCAGAGATTTCAAATCCTAAACGTGAAAAAATTACTTTAAATTTTTGGGGTTAACTTGAATTTAGAGAAAAAAAAAAAAAAAGCCTCAAGTGTAACTCAAAGCAAGACTTCGTCGTGTCAGGAAGGAGTGGTCTGGCACTCTCGGCATGAGCTCCTGAGAGTGCTCCCTTTCAGGAGCACTTCCACCCAGGATTTCAAAGGAGAGGAGAAGCAGGTGACACTTCAGGACACCTCTGAGGTGGGTCATAGCACGATTCTGCTCTGGGGGAGAACAAAGCAGGTACAGAACACCTGCCAGGGGGATCTCTGGAACACACAAAAACGTGACCTACAGGTGGGTGCAGCAAGACCGACTTCAAAGGTACAGCAAGACTTGCGTCTTTTTGTGCTTTCCTCGGTCTTTAAAAGCAGAGCAGAGTAAGTCAGAAATGAAAAAGAAAACCCCAACCCAACCCGCTCTTCAGATCTTTCTCTCGAGCACACAGGATCTCAGGAGAAAAAAAAAAAAAAAAGAAAAAAGGAAAATGGATGTGCCTTGAACCAAGCCACTACATATGTGCTCCACTCCTTTTCCCCTAAACATCTGCTCCTGGTTACTGTCAAAAGTTAGGATGCCAGTTTTTCATCTAAGCTACTACAGCAGTTTTAGGGCCCATCTGGAAAATGTGATGTATTAACTTTCAACAGCTTAATTATGGCGGCAATTTTAGGGATATGGAAAGGTAGGAGAACATTTGTTATCGCTTTGCTCAACCACCTTTCAAGAAAACAGAAGTCCTTCTGCCGTGAGAGGAATCTGAAGCAACTTCTGTATGAAAGTTTATTTACAATTAAGCCTGCTGGAAGCTGCTCAGCCAGCAATTAACAGCTGTTAATTCCTGTTGCTCGGGAACTGCATCAGAATTAAATCTGCGCTTCTGATTAAAATTGGATGAGAAATTTCAAAACGAGCAGATTTGCTCTTTAATTGGAAATTTCCTACACAATGGAAGTTTCACAGAAGATGGAGTACTGAAATGGCAAAGGGGAAATTTGCATTTTGGGATAGTCTTGCACAAGGGGAATACACAGCAACTAAATATTATTTGTAGACTTACTAGCAAGGCACATGCATCTGCCACCATGAGCATGTAAAACACGTTGTTCCAACCAGATGGGGAAATAAGACCAGCCAAGAGAGGTCCCAAAGCTGCACCTAAAATACAGCATTAGTATTGTCAAACTGTGCAGTGTAAGATACACTAAAATACAGTTACTCCAAGTTGCAGCATCAATTTTTCCACCTAGTTCAGGTTAGGCGTCAGGAAATGTTTTTTCCCCCAGAGGGTGTTTGGGCATTGGAACAGGCTCCCCAGGGAAGTGGTCACAGTACCAAGCCTGACAGTTCAAGAAGTGTTTGGACAATGCTTTCAGGCACACAGTGTGATTTTTGGGGTGCCCTGCACAGGGACAGGTGTTGGACCCCATGATCCTGATGGGTCCCCTCCAATTCAGCATATTCTATGATTCTAGTTAACTCAGTATTACCTTTTGTATTAAAAGGTCCCAGAAAGTGCAAAACATTACTGGTACAGATGCAAGCCAAAGCAAAACCTAACCCAGGGGAGCTGGAAGGCTGAATGTGTGATAAATGTCTGCCTTTGGCTCAACAAAATGATTAAGCTGAATGTTACTCAATTTCCCCTTCCACATACCGGTGCAGAGGGCATGAATAAAATATCCCTGATCCTAGAAACAACCCAGTGGCATCTCCTGTTGCTGTCTGTGCCCAGTATCAGTCTTACACCCTCGTCCTCCCACCCTCAAGTGCGGGACCACTAGAGGTTTCAAGCTAAGTCTGTGCCATTCCCCATTTTCAAAGCTGTTCTGGCAAAATGTGAGCTGAAGAGCGAGCCCAGTTTGTCAAAGACCCTTAGTTTTATAACCTACCCCAGCTAAGGCAGGTGATCTTCATCTCTGGCTTACCTACAGATCCAGTTCCATCGATAATCGCCGTCACTGTGGACAAGGCTCTTGCGTTCCCTTTCAGGCTTTTGTGGGTACCCTGAAGTGACAAAGATAGCTTAGACCCTCCTGAGCTGAACCCTGAAAAGGCCTTGCAACATCACCCAACTCACACCCCTCCACATTAGATACATGTTGTGAAGGTGGCTTAAATATCCAGCAATGTCAGGCCCCACTTTCCAGCCAGCAGCTCCTTCAGCAAGGATAAAATGGGCAATGCACGGTGGTCACCCTGGTCTTGCCAAGACCTCTAAAGCCCAAGGATAGGGCTCCAGAGATTTCTGTCCTGCTCCCCTTTCCTGTATTTAGCACATTTGTTAGAGGACTTTTGCTTCTTGCTTGGTGCCTTAAGGAACCAGCACCTTCCAAAGCCTCCCTTAGTGAACAGGCAGCAGGGTCGATGTTTTCACACGGCATTTGTGTGACCTGATCCATCTGGAAGTGCTTGGCAGCCTGAGCAACTGCAGGGCAGAGGGCAGCATCTGAACCTTGACTTTTTATTTTTACATACTTTTGTAAAGGTCTGTGGCAGGAATAGCTTTCTTCCCTGATGGGAGTTAAGTCACCAGCTCATCTCTCGCACAGGTACAGCTCCTCCCCCTCATTTAAAGATGTAAAATATAAAAAGGGAGAAGGTACCTGTACAGAGGCCTGGCTTTGCATGCAACCTTCATGCTGGGCTGTCATCTACAAGATATGGTGTCTTGTTAGTGGTCAAGAATAATTTAGAAGCCCCTCACGAGCGTGCCACTCCTTCCTACTGATACACAAACTAAAACAATCTCAGTGGCTGAGCTCAGCACTGCCTCTCCAGCTCCTCTGCTCTGGGACAATGCAGCCCCTTCCCTGTTGACCCTGCAGAAGTCAAAGGGCTCGCTCTGGAGGCCAAACTGCTGCAGGGAAACAGAGTGGAAGCCAAACTCACCAAGTCAGCAGAGACAGCAGTGGTGATCAGGGCGTAAGGGCCATTCACCAGGGCACCACTGATAAGCAGCATCACTGCAGAAAGTTAAAAAAAGAGAGGGAAAATCTGAGTTGCCTGAAAGGCTGTTAACAGGAGACATCACAGTCTGTGGTTCTCAAATGGTTTAATCCATCTTTGGCTCCCCTGACCCCATTACAGAACTGGGAAAGGAGGAAAACCAACGTATGTTCCTCCCTCTCTTCAATGCTTTATTTCGTGGTGTGAGTTCTCAAACATAACAGAAGATGGGGCTGAGACAAAAAGCACTTCCCAGGGCCTTTATTCATCCTGGTAGGTCAGAGAAAGGGGAAAATTTGATCAAACTCACTGTAAGAGCAGGGTTACTCACAGGGTACACCCCTAAGCCCCTTTTCTGCTTGTACAGCACTAGAGGACCCTAAACCTGACTGAGGCCTTTCAGCAGGGGAGACAATGCTGTCTGTACTTGTGTTTTAATTTCTGTTTTGAGGTAAGAGATAGAAAACCACAAGTGAATTCAGCCTATACAAGTAAACATTGCTGTCAAAAGTACTACAAGCAGTCTTTAAACACCTCTGACATTTGGCATAGGGAATTTAAAAATACTCACCCACAGTGGCCTCAAGCCCCATTTTACTGACTGTAGAGAACATGTACAACTGTAAAGACAGAAAAACAAGCATTCTGAATATCAACGCACAGACTAATCCCAGGTTATTTTCCCCATGTTAACTACAAAATATCTTAGTTGGTATCATATGAAAGCTAGTTCCAGGAGGGAGATGAGGGGTATGATCCTATTCCCCAGTATGTCCTGTCAGAAGGAAGGGTTGTCTTATGAGACCACTCAGTTTTAAACACTCCACCTGCAGCTTCAACACAGCACAGAGCAGTGCTCACAAAAGAATAAAAGAAAAGTGCATCTCCTGTGTGCAACTGCCAGTTCTCCAACAGCTACAGCACAGAAATTTTAGTAAATTTTAGTTAATTTTAGTTAAAATTTTAGTAATTTAGTAAATTTTAGTTAAAATTCTGGCTAAGAACTACACATCTGCTTTCACAAGACAGTGAAGAATTTCATATAATCTCTGACAAACAATACATTAAACTTATTTGCTTGTTTAGTAAAGGCAGCCCCAGTGTCTACACTTGGCTCAGCTTTTCATGGCAGTTTTTAATCTGGCCTGAGCTCTTTATATCCAGGTTGGAAAATGTTGCCTGCAGGACTGTCCAAGGAATGCTGTCACAGTCTCAGCCACGGCTGAGAGGAGCAATTTCTTACCGTGGGTGCTGCCAGCAATAACATCATCCCACAGGTTGACGCCCTCTTCTCCAGCCTGTCTGAAATGAGACCTGCCAAAATTCCACCTGGAAGAGCACGCAGGTGTAAGAAGAAAACACTCAGTGCATGTTTTACACAAAAGACATCAGTTATTACTTAATGAGACACAACCCAATGACTCCTACTGTACAGCTACACACAGCAGCACAGCATGTGAGCCTCACAACGTAATTCACACAGTAAAATCCTTATTAACCCAACCAGTTATGACCTGAAGATAACAGCAGCAGACTATTGTTCTTCTTCATCGTTTATTCCAACCAAATATCCAAGGCAAAAAGCCTTTTTGGCAGGTCATGGCCCCGGTGTTGGTGTTCAGGAATCCAGCTGAGCCCAGCTACTTACTGGTCTCTTAACTCGTTCTCAAGTTTTATGTCTTTGTCACACTTTGACCACTGGAAACGAGCTATTCTGTATCTTGGGGCAAATGAAATACGTGGTTTTCTCTCCAGGTAGTCAATCCAAGCCCTTTAATTTTCCCTACTTCTTGTGTTTGCCAACAACCCTACACGTTGTACTAATGGGGAGCGTGTGGCTGGAGGGAGCTGCAAAGCCTGAGGGAAGGAGCTGTCACAATTATATAAAGGGAACTTGGTACAGAGAGAAGGAAGGGAAGTTCCCTGGATTCTCCAGATTCCTAAACGTCACCCTGGGCCTGCCTCTCCCTTCCCAGCTGCCCATCTACAAAGTGCTCACATCCTACTTGAATTTAAAAATAAATGCCAGAGGTCCAAGCTGCACTGGCAGGTTGTTAAGGTTGTGTCCACAGCAGAATCAGATGCTGCTGAAAGACATCACCCACATCTCTAAGGTACTACTGACCCTGGCTATTTGCCCTCTGGGATGAAAGCAGCAGTGAAAAATGGCAGAAGTCACACCCAGCACAAGAACAGAACGGGAACTGCAACACACCTGGACATCAGCATCTTGAACTGCCAGGGTCTACTCAGTTCTTGATCCAGGGAAACTTCTGTCATGAGCATTATTTTCCAATGGACTGATACAAGGCTTATTTCCATAAGGGAACTGGGGGAGGTGGAGAGGGGAAGGGGGTGTGTGCTAAGTCAACAAGGCTTCAGGATGATATTTATTTTATTGTGAAATATACAGTCCCCACCGGCATCAAAATTTAATTATTCAGTGGTCACCTAACAAATTAGAAAGGAATAGCCTCATCCTTATAATTATAACAATCTCCCAATTTTATCCCATGCAGTCATATGAGGCTTAATTAAAACAAACCAAAACACCTGTGGCCAATCACCTCTGTGCCCACAGAAAAAATACACAATGTACAAGCTGGGATAGTTCTGTTTCGTTAGAGTGACAAAAGGAAGGTATTTTGATAGCTGGTGTGACCCAGACTCATGGGCCAGAGCTGATGGAGCTATTATTCCGTAATATTTGACTATTACAATTTGTACTGGACAATATAACTGGCTCTGAAGATATTCTGCTACCCAACACAGCTCTCAGCTCAGTACCTTTACTGCCACTCTTCTTCAGCGGACACAAAGCACAAAGACTATACAATAATATATGTAATCTGTGTGCACCAGAGTTTTTACTGAACTGGTGTGAATAAGGGTGAAATATGAGTATTAAAACTTACCAAAGATTCCACCCACATCAAACAGCGTAGAAAGGTCCCCAGCTCTTTTGGCATCAAGATGCTCTAGGCAGAGATGCAAAACATTTGTGTCATTTCTACACTATAAGAGATAGAAATCTCACCACAGTCTTGTCACTCCAGGGCAAAGGCACCTTACAGCAGTGCTGTTTATTCACAGGAATAAGCTGCCACAAGGTGACACTGTGCAAGAGAAATGTATCTAAGTGCATTTTTAGAAAGTAAGCCTTTTTTGATTTGTTTGCAAAAGCCAAAGACACAGCATTTATGCCTGGAATTGTTGAAGATGAGCCAGGTTCTTCTGTTTGTTTCTTTTGAAAATGTCCTCTGAATTCAGAAACCTGAGAAATATGTTAGTTGGTGGCTTACAACACTCCTGCTACTGCAGCAGAGAAAGCCTCTTTTAGAAGCAGTAGTGTTTATTTTATTTACTTCAAGCTTGTATTCCCACACACTTTGTAGCCATAATTCTGCATCCCTTTACTGTGATACTTACCTACATTTGTGATATAGAGGGGAAGCCAGAAGAGGAAAGTGTAGCTCACCAGCTTTGCAAACAGAAGACAAAGGGAGAACTCTACAACTCCCTGAGAGAATAAAGAAAATAGCAAGTTAGTATCTTGACAGAGCTATTTGCTTTCAAAGGCCGTTATGAAAATGGTTTCTAAGAAACATTTAGGCTTTTCTTTTTCTCTCGAGAGTTCCCAAGAAGCATTCTTCCCCCGAGAGCACAAAGAGCAGACTGTGGTATTTCACTTGTATTTTTTTATCCTTTCTCAATTGTACTGAATTGACTGAAAACACTAAAATGGTAGAGAATAACCTGAAGAGAGAACACTGAAATGAAGGCAAAGGATTTTATACTGTTTGGTACTCTCACATCACTTATTTTCCTTGTGTAAAGAGCTGTTATATAGTATTATAGCAGGTTTGGAGTGTATTCCAGAGAAACTGGCATCTTTCTGTGCTTTTTAGATCCTTCCTTCAGTTCAGGCACAAGATTTCTTCCCTATTGTTCAGCTCTTTATAAAAAGCCAGTACGACACAGTTCAAATCAGTATGTGGCAAGAGCACAGAGAGCAATGACATATTTTAGACACTAACCTGCTCCATCCTCTTTCCTGCTGGGAATATAAAAGTGTACTTACTGCACAGAGCTGCAACTAAACTGCCAAATTAACCTATCTTCATTCCCCTCACCATCTGATATCTGTTTGAGGAAAGATTTCCTAAACCCCTGGTATGGAGGGCTGCATTTATTCCTCAGGACCCTTCCCAACAGCAGGCAGGAAAAATACCACAGAGGCCCTGAGATTTCAGGTGTGGGAGCAGCAGCAATTTTTCTACCTGTTACTTCCACTTTGCCACGGAAAAGACCAGCAGAGGACAAGCCCAAAGCCCTTGGCATTCCAAGACTGTGATGCAAAGTTAATATCCTCTACCACTCCATCCAGATCTTCACGGAAATATGAGTTCTGAGGCCAAACTTAATTCTTGGAGGAACAGCACAAGTACTCACAGGTATTCTCAAGGCCCCAAGGAAGCTGATTGCTGATGTCCCATGTCTTCCTTCCCCGCTGGAATTCAGGGACACGCTGCAGTTTTCACTGTCAGTAAGCAAATGCTGCACCTCCGGATCCTGCAAGTTTCCCCACACGAGAGAGAGAAGAACAAAGAATCAGAATTTGTATACAAAGAAACCAAGTAATTCCAAAATAATTTTTAAAAACGAGTGTATGTTTTATCACAGAACATTACAGCTTTTAAAAATACCTTGATTTCAATACACAGAGTAGATACAGAGAGAGTATATACAGAATATCAGGTGAAATAATTCTGGTTGTTTATATCTGAGTGCATACACTCCGTTATGGAATCAAGTTTCTATTCTATTGTGGAGCAATTTCACATATTAGAGCACATTCAGTGGAATAAAACAGTTTCCAGTCCTCCCTTGCCCCACTACATAAATGTGGTCTAATAAAAGCTGACTACTGACTACTACAACACATTTCTGTATAAAGCATGTGTTATCTTCTTTCTGTGCAATTAAGCCCATTTTTCAGACTCTGCAACATCACCTTATTCACTGATTTAAATGCAAGCCATCTTTCCAATTGAATTATGGAAATGGAGTATTTTAAGTTAAGAAATCACTTATTTTTTCACCTCTGTTTCATTCGAGCACTGCAGTCCCCAAATTATAAAAGCCTGGAATGTACCAGTATCATCTAAGTTGAATTCTGAGTCCCTTTTTAGCCCTGGGAATAATTTTACCCCAAGAACTCCACTGGTTGCTAAGAATACTCATGGAGCAAGTTACCACTCAACAAGAACAAGCCATCCCACTGTAGCCATGAGGGCAGATGTTATTTTTACCCATCCACCACGCTGAAACAAACTCAGAATAGAGCTGGAAATTTACATCTTACAGCTGTGCACAGGAAAAAGAATTTTCAGGTATAAATAGCCCTCAGTACCTCTTTTCCAACTCAGAATAAGGATGGGATGTAGTTATGTGTTCTACATATTGTCTTCTTCCCCCTGATTCTTCAGCATTTGAATAAAGACTCAGTGAAGAATTAAGCCTCAAATTTGTATCTGACTGTTGGTTAGTAAGGATAAAACAAGAGGCCATTTTATTTCCAGTACTTATTACAAAGATTAAAACTTTCTGTTTAACATTTGGTGAGTTGATGGAGGAAGAAAAGAAGGGAAAAGAAATGCTCGAAAAATTCAATTCTGCTATTTTACACTCTGTGATTCTAAATAAATTCAGTTTCTAAAGAACATCATTTAGCAGAAGGCACTAGGGAACCATCTGGACACCTGAGCCCAGACACTTAGCATAATTTTAGAAACCATCAGCAGCATCCAAAGTTCCGTACATGATTTGTAGCCAGGATACAGGATATACAGGAGACCCTGCACCCTGACAAAGCATTAAGTGGAAGACAGAGAAAAAACATCTAGGGAGCTTTGACATGGCACTGTAAACTGTTCACGAGTCACTCCATCATCACCATCATCATCATAAGTATTTGTCTCCTGAATTACTGGAGCAACTTCAAAACTTTAACTATTTTAACGAAGTCATTTAGCAATTGAAATTTGGATTTAGCAATTCAAACCATCTGCTATTAACACTTAAAAAACATGAGAGACAGAGAGAGGAGAAAAAGAAGGGCTTTAGCAGTGAAGCTCCCCCTGGATTCACTGGAAGACACTTCCAGGTAAGTGTCTAAATGAGTATCTCTTGCACAATCTGCACAGCAAACTTAGCCAGGTTTGTCTGAGGCAATGCTGCTCATTTCTCAGACAAGTAGCTCTAAATCTACTTCAAAAGAATGGGTTAAATATTGAAGTAGAAGTGACTAAAGTCCAAAAAAAACCTTATTTAACTCATGTTGGAAACTTCTGTCGACAATATGGGATTTTTAAGCTGCAAATAACTAAATGATAAATAAAACCAGCAGTTTGTGCTTGGCAGAGTTAACATTGTACAACCTTGCCAGCTTGTCACAGAGCATGATTAGGCATATGGCACACTTTTGATCTCTGGGGAAGGATTCATTATGCCTCAATTTTGTGTAATTTTTAAGAGGCCAACCTAACATAAGCAGCAATGAAGGCACAGAGGTATTCAGGTCACGCAGCCAAAAACACGTTCTGCTTTCAATCACTGCAGATCCTGAGTATTTGCTTTCTTTTTACAGTAATTGCAGAGGTCAATGAAAACCCAGTAAAAGCTGCCATTCCAGTGTGCTTGGAGACCAACTCATAAATGCAAAACATCTGCTGTTTGCACAGGCTCAAAAGCTGACTGTGAAAAATCAGCTCCACACAACTGCAACACAACCACTGTGAAAAGGAAAGATGTTCAGCTCTGCTTTTGACAGGAAAAAGATGTTCTTCTGTCACTGGCAGAAAATCAGGAAGTCCCAAAGAGTGACAAGCAAGGATTTTTAATTCTTTTATTCATTTCTTTTTAAACGTTGTTAAGACTCCGCATTACAAGCGCGTAACCCAGCTGGCAGGGCGGAGGGAGGATGGGGGGAGAACACTGCCAAGGCTGCCAGCAAGTGGGAATTTACAGAACAAATTCTTCCCTGTGAGGGTGGTGAGGCACAAGAGGAGGTTGCCCAGAGAAGCTGTGGCTACCCCATCCCTGGAAGGGTTCAAGGCCAGGCTGGATGGGGCTCTGAGCAACCTGGGAGAGTGGAAGGTGTCCCTGCCCATGGCAGGGGGGTTGGAACGAGATGATCTTTAAGGTCCCTTCCAACACTAACCATTCTCGACCACGATTCTAAGTCATGATGACAGAGCTGAAAAATAGTCACCTGCTGATAGTCTTCTATCTCCCCTTATCTTCCAGATGTTTGGGAAGTAATATTGACAAATGGTTTATGGGCTGGACAGTGTTCTTAAGCAGCTCGAAATGAAAATGAAAAGCTCTCTACAGTGGGAGTTTAGGTTGGGTTGATCAAAATGATGAGTGAAGTATTTCCTCAGCAAAAATTTCAAAACCTTTTTACCAACACTGATTATCGTACCCTGTGAATGCTCATTATTATTCTATGGGCAAAGGATGAATGGAACAGGAAGTTTCTATTTTCCTGGAAAAGTCTGAAAGAAGTTAAGGGGGGGGAAAAAAAAAGTTATCCTCTCAGGATACCACGTGCCAAGTGTACTGAATACAAATTTTCAAATGGAAATTTTCAGTTAATGCCCACCAAAAGATAAAATATCTTTTTGCTCATCAACTGATAAGTGAGAATTACCACCACTTAAGGTCGCAAGTTTTAAGCAGTATTTTTCTGAATAATTGCTCCTTTTCAGAAATATCCATCTCCATGTATAATCTTGGAAGTACATAAGACTGTTGCATTCAAAAGGGAGAGAAGTGAGACTGCAAGTACGGGGCAAACACGACACACGTAGTTTAAACATTTCAAGTGGGCTACCTCTGAAACACTTTTCAGTGCACTGCTGGAATTGTGTCAAGATTACAAGAAAAGACCAACTGAGTAAGCACGTCATCTCATTCAGCTCTGCTAGCAGTATTTATGTCAGGAAATGAGCAGCACTTCTGTCAGGTAATGCTTAGTTCCCTCATCTGAAACTACATTTGTGTATGAGAATGGAAAGAGATTTCAGCATCATAAAAGGAGGAGCAAATCTTCACCAGCAGTAAATCTACTGTAAATGTTCCACGTGAGCCTTAGGAAGCCTTCTATGCTATTTTACAACAATATGTTACATTTTACCTGAGGTTTGCCATTTTCCTTAGCATTTAAGGTCGGCATCTGGATTCTGCATCGAGATGCACCGTTCAGGAAGGTTTTAGAACTCTGAAAAACAGAACAAAACAACTCCATACTTTTGTTGCTTGTTTTTTGAAAGATGACATCAGTGTCAATCATTTCTCTACAACAAGTTTTTGTGCACTGTAAAATAAACGTAACCCCAAATGAAACATCTTTGATTTAATGACTGTGCATTTTGGGTTCTCAAAGTTCTTAAGCAGACCTATGGTAACCTACACAAAAAAAATGCAGTCACAAATTTATCTGAAGCTAATTTCATGCTGGTTTTAGACAGAAGCAGCACAGTCATGCCATTCTTAACATCTTTAGCTGCTTTTTTCTCTACTGAACTTACTGACATTGCAAACTTTAGTTTTTTTTCTCATAAGCAGATGATCCCAGGAGGCAAACCACAGGAGTTGATTTGTTTCAGGAAAACCTTGGTTCTTCGCTTTCCTATCCCTTTAAGATTAAAGTTTATCCCTATAGATTATAGTCTGTAGCACTATATTCTTTTAACCCAGAAATGGACTTGTGGACAGGAGTGTTAATGAAGAGTCTGAGCAGCTCCAGCACATCCAGTAGAAAAGTCAAGGCAATAAAGCTACATTTTAGGTACTAGATGGACCTGCTTTTTATACTTATTTATCAACAAGTGCATTAGTGCAACAGTTCACAACAAAAACTGCATTCAATGGAAAACAATTCTGTGATCTTTGGTGTAAAAAGGGTTTACCAGGGACATTAAGGTTTGTCTGCTCAATTAAATATACAGTTTTAAAGTAGATTTGCAGCCAGGTATGGACAACCTATTGCTAAGACCAGAAGAAGCACTGTGCACTCCTCAGGTGTGAGATGATTTTTTTAAGTGTCTAATCACACACTTGATGCCACATTAAAAAAAAAACACAAACAATCAAAGACCCCAAAATAAAACAATAAAATCCCTCACAAACTCTGCACCCCACCCCTTTGAGCTCACCACCACAAATGAAAAAAGAACACAGATCCTCCCCGAACATTCTAATTCCAAATTAATCACTGGGTTATTCTTCCCCAACAAAAATACAAGAATATGTATTGCAGGCAAACTGCCATTCATCACTCAAATCCTTCTATGAAGGTAAAAAACATTTGAGGATAATCTGAAGTATTTCTGCTGCTCAATATAGAACTGAGGCACCAGCAGTTCTTGGGCTCGAATTCCTCAAAATAAACCAACAACACTCAAGCCCCCAGGCTCTGATGAAACAGATTTTTAAACTTTATCTTACAGAAGAATCTGGCTCTTGTCAAAAGTATGATTTACAATGATCCACAGGGAAGAAAACCCATTTTCTAAAGACAAGTCATCTACATATTTAATCAGCAGCTCAGCACAGGAAAAATGAACGGCTTTTTCATTTGACTGTCAAAAAATATGATTTACTGTAGTAAGGAGAAAACGTCTAGGGGAAAAGGACTAGACTGAGAGGCTGCACATTTAATACTTGGATTTGCGTCTCCTTTTCAGGAGATAGAAACTGCAGCACGGTAATTCTTAAATACACAAGCACTTGGCAACAGGAGTTTAAGAGAGCTAAGTTTCCTGGGAATGCAAAGTCCTAGAGTTCCTAAAGCATAAAGACAGGTCTGAATGAACAGGACGTAACTATGGGAAGAAAAAAAAAAAAAAAAAAAGCTCTGGGGAGAAAAGATGAGAAGCAATAAAACCAGTTCCAAATCACCACACTACCCAAAATGCTGTTAAACCTCCTCTTTAACTTTCATGATGGAGGTGCACCAATGCTGAATAAAGCACAGTGGCTTCTCACTTTCCTTTGTCACAGGCACAGCCTCTCAGAAAGTCAAGGATTAAGCCTCCCGTGCGGGGATTTAAAAGCCCTTCATTGCACTCAAGTGTTTATTTCGACACAAATTTCAGATTGGTAAATCAGAGCCAAGATGAGCGCAAGCAAATGAAGCACAGCCCAGGAAACCAGAGAATAAAGAGTAAGAACCACACATTCAAGGCTCTGTGCCTGCCTGTCCCTTCTGTGATTCTGGACAACTCAGTGAAATCAGATTACTCACCACTACAAACTCGGTAGAAATACTGGGCTCACGATCACGCTGCAAATAAACAGTAGACCAAATTCATCCAGGATAGTGATGTCACACAGAGAGGACCCTGATCTCTGGATCTTAATATAAATCCACCCTGAAGTCCTTCCCTC